TAGCTGTGGTGGTCTAGCAGCATGTAATCTCTTATTCTGGCATAACAATTCATTTAAACGAGGCTTCCAATACAGATGCCAAATTTCATCCCAACTCTTGCCAGTTTGTCGCTATACCAATTGAAATTGCCAACTACCATTGAATTTTGTGTAAACAATTTACGTAGTCCTAGTAAGTCCACTTAATATCCATTCTGATTTCCTACACGTTTATTGAAATATAGTACCGCCATAAAACTTGCCTGCCCTATTTCACAAAGATCATGAACACTACAGGTATATAAAACGACAAAATCAAATTCCAGACCATGTTACAAAATAAGAATCGGCCAACACCAAAAGAATATGCCCTTCCCATATACCTTAGGCTAAAATCCAACAAAATTACTGGATCTTCCAAGTAAATGTTCCTTCGCCTTTATATTATAAATATAGTTGATTGGATCAAACCAAAAAAATTTGCCTAACGCCAAATTCCAACTAAAGAATTTCTCACTAGAACCACCAGTCTCTACTTTCTGCTGCCTTCCATTTAAACCCGTCCACAATCCCACTGTTTTACTTTATTCCTTAAATACCCAAATTACGAACTGAAGAAGTGACATTATAAGCTAGAATCATGATATCGCTGCAGCTATTAGTCAAAACACAGGTATGCAGACAACAAAATCAGACAACAGACAATGATACACAATTAATTTAAGAATCAGACATCAGGAAGAGAACATGCCTTTTCTACATATTTCACGGCTACAGTGATTACATGACTAACAAAAATCCGAAAAACAATCAACCATGTTTCCAAAAGTTCCTTTACTTTTTAGGATCATGCATACTTTTAACCAGAAAAAAAACTTGAAATTAGCACCAAAATCCAACTAAAAAGCTCTCATTCTTTCCCATTTCTGCTATCTCCCATTTAAACCCAGCTCGCATCGTACTGTTTCGCTTTCCTCCTTAAATACCCAAATCTACTAATTAAACAAACACCTTACATCGTAGCTATTAATCCAAAAACACCTACAGAACTAAAACCCTAAAACACTACAAATGGCAGAAAAACAAGATAACAACCAACCAAATCAAACAAAAGCCTCAAAATAACCGAGTAAAAGAGAGAGATAAGCACCTCAGCTCGGGCGAGGATGAAGACGAGATAGTTATTGAAATCGGGGAACTGACTGTAGTGCTGAAGCTGCTGCCAAATCCTCGTCTGATCAGAGTTCGGCGAGATTTGCTGCTCCAAGAGGCCGCAGATCTCGCGGAGCCCCTCCTTCTTGAGGCTTGCCAATGTCGCCGCCGCCGCGGCCGCGCTGCATGGCCGGCGATTCCGATGAGAACAGAACAGAGAAGATCGAGTAGAAAAGGGGAGATCCTTTTGTTAGGGTTTGGGATTTGAGAAGATTCTTTGTTTGTGCTTCGATCGGAGAGAAAAGGAAAAGATTGGAGCTTCGCTGGATGATGAAGGGCGGGCGGAGGGGTTGATTTGGACTGAGAAAAAGTGGGGGGTTAAAGGGGAAAAGCGTTGGATATTTATAGGGTGGAATTAAAAGCCGATGGTCAAATTCCTTTCTGCTGGGGATTTCATGGATTTATAATTTCTGTTGCTTATATTCCTTAAAACTGTGCATTTTAAATATTCAATCAACTAATCGTCTTAGAAGGATCTTAGAAACGCATGAATGGGCGCATGTTGGTAATATAGATATAATTAGTAGTAATTTATTTATGATAAATTTAGTATTGAATTGTTAAATTGGTAGACAAGTTTGGTTAGTATTTACTCTCTATAGAATGATAGAGAAACTTTTACATCCCTAATTCTATAGAGATTCTATAATTTGATTGTGTACGCTAATAACATCTTTTCATTGCGTGAACTCAATGAATAATATTGTTTACGCATCATATTGTTTGCAAAAAAATGAATGATATTGATTACACATTAGATAAAATTCCTTTGACTATGGGACCGATTAAGTCAACTAATATTATTGATCCACATATTTAATTGTAGGAATTCTCTGTAAGAATGGGAAGAATCTAGAGCACACGTAGAATCAGTGTGTAATGAATCATCAGGTTGTGCAATTTAGTCGGTAGAAAGCATTGTTAACATTTTTGGATAGGACTAGTGGTGACCTCATATTCTTCCAAATATATCTAAATTTTGACATACATGTTTATGTGTTTTCAACTTCTTGTACAATCAAAAAATGTGTACGAGAATCCAATATATCTAATTACCTATTAATAATTTATCTTCATTATCAAAATTTGTTATGAGCTATCCAATTGAAGGTTGTTATAGCCAAACTTCTTGATTATGTATCCTAACTTATTAGTTGTAATCTTTCTGTTTTCGGTGAAAGTTGCTGTTTTCATTGCTTTTGGATCTGTTACAACTTCAATCGTTACAACAAGAATCGATAAAAAAAGTCGGTCTTTTTATAAGACCTCCTCGTGCAATAAAACAAAAATTACAACTTTATCGAAAATAAACACGAGGTCCCGTTTTGGTGCGGTCTCGCTTGCGTGGGTCTTTAGCCTGTGACGGGGACGTCAATATCCGTGGACCACCGGTAGGTCAGATCCGTTCCGAGAAAATCGGACAGAGTTTCGTCTATCCGCGAGGGGATTTAGAAACTCTGAACTTCGTCGACCCGCGTGGGATCGAGAAGTTATGAAGCTTATATCTCGGCTAAAGCGAGACACCAGCTCTACTTAGTATCACCGCTAAGGGGCAATACTAAGGAAAAGAAAAGGGGGAAGGAAGAAGACCCTTTTTGCTGCAGAAGGCTCGAGCACTCCTCACTCCGGCAGGGCTTCGCCTAGGCTCTCTCCAAGAAATCCTCCAAGGCCACCAAAGAAATCAAGAGCTAAATCAGGAGCCCCCTCAAATGAAGGCCTAAGGGGGCTATTTATAGCAAACCAAGAGAGGGGGGGGGGCTGAAATGGTGAGGACACCCCCTTGGGGTCTCGGCGGCCGAGACACCCCTTGGGTGTCTTGGTTTTGCCAAGACACCCCTCGGGTGTTTCGAGCTTGCCACGGGACACGAAGGGCGCTGCTTCTTTTGCAGCGGTCGCGGGGTTCCCGATCAATCCGTATCCCCGTTGTTCTGAAATTCTGTTGGATCGCATAGCTCATCGATTCGCTTCAGGCGCTCACCGACGTCAATTAGACTCTTGTGAACCGGGTAGTGACGTTCATCGTCATTCCCTAACACTGAGCTGTTCGTGGGGACCTATCGGCAATTTTTTGATGCCTACAGATACCCCCTCCAAAGCGTTCCGGCCTCGTTTCTTTTATAGAAGAGACCGGAATGCTTTGGATATGATTGGTCCGGCCTTCAGTCGGCATAAGGGACCTGTGGTTAGCTTCAACTCTCGGCTCCTTCGATTTTCGGTTTATCCGATGCTTTGACGAATAACCGAAGTTTTTCCGGCGCTGCGTTTATCGCCTGGCCGTCGTTGGAATCTCGAGTCTACAGCTGGTGGATTGAGTTTGGCTCGTGTCATTGAGTTGACTTTTGAACTTACTATCCCTGTCACATCGTGTTGACCTGGGGTTTCGGATCACTGCACGTTGACTTTTTGACGCAACGCGTTGAGTGGCGTTGACCTTGGGTTACGCGTTGACTGGCGTTGACCCTTAGGGTTTCGAATCGTCAAATGTTGACTTTTGTCGCAACGCGTTGACTGGCGTTGACCTAGGGTTACGCGTTGACCGGCGTTGACCCTTAGGGTTTCGAATCGTCAAACGTTGACTTTTGTTGCAACACGTTGACTGGCATTGACCTAGGGCTACGCGTTGACCGGCGTGGACCCTTAGGGTTTCATGCATCGAATGTTGAGTGGTGTTGATTTTCATCAAAACATCCAATAACCAACGAAAACGGGCGTATTCGGGTCCAAAACAGGCGTATGAGGACGAAATAGGACCCGAAACACCCGGGGGTGTCTCGCCTTTGGCCGGGACACCTTGGGGTGTCTCGGCCAAGGCCGAGACACCCTAGGGTGTCTCGGTTTTGGGGCCGAGACACCCCCTCTCCTCTTTTGTCTTTTTCTCTTTCTTGGTGGTTTACTTTTCCCTTGTTTTGGTTCTATTACCCCTTTTGTTTTCCCCCCCTCTTTTCAAAATTTCAAAGAAGATTCCCCCTCTTACTTAGCTCTCAAAACCGACCTCTTCCCCCCCTATTTCGGTTTTGTGAACTCTTCTTCCCCAAACTTCTCTCTTCCATTGATTTGTTCTCAAGGATCCATCAACCCTCCAAGAGGGGCTAGGATTTTGGGTGTCTCCTATTGGCCGAACACTTGCTCCTCCAAGTAGGGTTCCCTCCTTCATCTTCAAGCTTAAAGAAAACTCTTTTGATTTGGTAAGCTCTTCTTTACAATCCTCTTATTTTCTTGTAAAGATTGCATCTTTATTCTTGCAGTAGACTTCGGGGGTTTTGTGCAAAAAAAGAGGTAATGGCCGAAACTTTGGGGGGTTATTTGCAAAATTCGTGGGGGTTTATTTGCAAAATGGGACTGAAATTTTGAGGCTTGGATTTCATTCCCCTTTGGTAACAATTTGGATGGGTGTTTCATGCAAAAAGACCATACCTTATTGAGGGTTTTATGTGTAAATAGGGGGCCGAAAACTTTGGGGGCTTATTTGCAAATTCGGCCAAAGAATTGGGGTGGTGTCCATGTAATAAAGGACTGAAGTTAGAACCTAGGTTACATGCTCATTTGGCCGAAAGTTTAAGGGGTACTTTAGGCAAGAGGACCAAAAGTTGTTAGAGGGGTCTATATGCAAGATTGGCTAAATTCTGCAAAAGGGCTCATTTGCAAACTTTAACCAAAATTGTGGGGTACCGGGGTGTTATATGATCGAATGTGATGATCATGACCCGGGTTACGCGTGTCCTTGACCTGAATTTTGGCCTTGAACACGAAGGGTATTTTGGGTATTTCACCAAAATTCACCGCGAAAACGATCATTGTTTTGCGGGCACAAAATTGGTAGGTTTAATTAGACTTTAACTGTAAAATCCTATTTATTTATAGGATTTTAAGTCCAAGTGCTTAATTTCCCTGTTTAAATTTCGTGTATTCATATTGTACCTGACAGATTGCTTTTCACTGCAGACTTCCGATGTCTCCTCGTCACCATCGATCTTCCGGGAGTTATCCCCATTCGCAACACAGTGAGGAGGAGGTTCCCACGACGTCTTTTCCGGCAGACTTTTCCTTCAGGGGTGAGAATTCTCTATTTCTGTATCCCTGACTGATCCCTTAGCGGGTCATTAAGGAAGAACCGATACCTCTTTCGCGGAGGTTAAGGTTTCGGACTTGTTTTGCTTAGCCAATTCAAGTCTTCGGATATATTGGGGCGATTCTTGTGTTGTCTTACACCTTGTAGTTCGGTATATGTTGCCACGTTGTTCACGTGATGATGCATACCGTTCTTCCGGTGTAGGACACTCAAAATCGTCTCTCCAATTATTCCGTGAATGAGCTTATCATTCTACTTATGAGACGGATTTTCTGACTCCATCTTTTGTATTTTATTGCAGTTGAATTCCCCGCGGGTAGTCTTCCTGCTCATGCCAATGCCGGTTGTAGCCGGGAGGTTTTTTCCTCCACTTCCATTGGGCAAGTCATTAGCCCATTCCCACAGTTTGACCAGGATCGTTCTGACGATTCCTGCCGTTTAGTACGGGAAGGAGGGCGCCATTGCTTGCGCCAGCTTATCACAGACGCCACTTTTACCGCTGATTCTACTTCCACTCAGGCTTTACAGAAGCCGAGCTTCTTGTTCGGGGATCATGTCGAGGACCCCGCTATACTGACTCTTGGAGAGGAGCACTGGCTGACTCGTGATGGAGGAGCTCTTTTATACATTCCATCAATTCCCCGCCAATATTCTTTTACCCATTTGAGGAGACAGGCCGTGAGGCGACAGATGTCCTGGGATCTTACTAAGGATGCTGAGCGAGTCCCGTGTGGATATACCTCTCATTCTAAGACCCCTGGTTCTGGTGGGTATCACCATATTCGCGGTCTTTGCCCAGGGATCACGGGCCTTGATACTGCACCCCCAGGTGAGACGTCAGCAGCTGCCTCTACTGTGGGTAATCGTCTGGCTCTTCTGGGGAGGCGATTACCTCCACCAGAGCCCAGATGCTATGGCTGGGCTTCCTCACTAGCCAAAGGGTGGTGGGCGCGCATGACTGATTTCGTCTTGGCGCGCTGGGAGAGGGATCTGAAGAGTAGTGGGTTATATGCACCTATACGAGCTACTATGTACGGAATCCCAGTTAGCTGTCGCCATTTCTTGGCTTTGCTGGAGACTTATATGCCCGATAACAACATCTTTCTGACCAGTGGTGGTGAGCTAGGGTTGGCCTTGCACGAGATGCACCATGTTTCGGGTCTTCCGATGGGGGATTGTCCGTATCAGGAGTACTTCCCCTCGAACAAGCAGTTGGAGTGTATGAAGAAAGATACTCCTGACATGTATGACACTCTCTGGGATCTTACCTGTCATTATCACACTTCCTTGGTCCTGACTTCTCCTCCAGCAAAAACGAAAAGGAAGGTCAGCTTGAAGCAGTTCGCCTGCTATTTGTTCCAGAACTTGGAGGGTAACTCCGACGAGTCCGTTCATGAGTTAGACGTTTTGACCCCGTCTGTCATTAATGAGCTGTTGGAGAAGGCCGAGGCTCAGTCTTACACCACTGCCAGTGCTGAGGGAGCTTTTCCTGCGGGAACCAAGTTTCATTCTTTTCTCTTTCATGCGCAGAAATCCATTGGGTCTCGGACTCTACTAGCAGGCTACCTTGCTCTTTGGCTGAAGAAATGTGTTGTCCCGCACCAGTCTTCGGACGCTCTACCTATCGAGGTGCTCTTCCCTGCAGTTCAGCTAGCTTACGGGAGAGAGCTTTCCCTGCTCCCAGCGATGGTTGCCAGCATCCACTGCGGGCTTAGGTGTCTGGCTAGTGGCTTTACACAGAGGGGTTCTGAACCATCGACTGAGCTTACTAATCCGAAGGTCGAGCTTCCTTACGCTTATCTGATGGCGTGGCTCGTTCTTCACCGCCCCGACTTGATGTCGGCGCCCAGCGTGGTAGATGTCCCTATTCCTTTCATGCAGCTGTTGGAGAAATGTAAATGGATTGGGCCCAAATTCAGTGATGTTCAGCGCGAGCTTCGAGTCCGTAAAAGCTGGGAGTTCTTTAAGTGCTTTCCCCACTTTTCGGGTCGCTATGGTGACACACTGATTGATGAGGAGAAACCCAGAAGTGACCGGACCATTCTTGACGCTGGTTGCTTCCGGTGGTTAGTGAACATCCGCGTAGGGTATCTCGTCCTTCGGGTGAAGAATCAGTGCCACATAGAGCCTTATCTCCCTTGCCGCTTTGCTCGCCAATTCGGCTATGACCAACTGTATGTCGGGAATCCGAGCCGTAGCCTGCAGGTTGAGGGAGGATTGATTGATGGCGTACGAGCGTGGCTATGGACGATGGTGGGCTGCACTGGAGCCCGTTTTGCTCTTCCTTCGTATCGGCGTAAGCCACTGATCACTTTCCTCAGCTGCAAGTGGTTCCTTTCTGCATATGAGTCCATCAACGTGAGGAGCTTCTTAGAGTTGCAGTCCGAGTACGCGGTCCGGGCTGCTATGATGGCTGGTCGCAGAGCTGAGCTTGCTCAGAAGCGGAGAAAAGGGCATGCCAAATCTCTTGTCTCAGACGAAGAAGGACTTCTCCCTACGGGTGACGATGACGAGACCTCCGAGGAAGAGTATGTGGATGCAGATACCGGCAGAGGGGATCTCGATACCGGTTTGTCCTGTCTCTTTTAATTTTCCTTTTTCATAAATGACAGCTCTTTTTTATTGAAATGGCTATTGTCACTTTAGGTAGGGCAGCCAATGATCATGAGCCACCAGCTCCTACACACGTTGAAACGTGTGATAGGCCTGCGCATGTTCGACCTGTTGGCCCTCGAAGGGTTGGTGCCCTGAAGAGGAAGAAGACCGCCCACAAGTCCCATGACGGTCAGCGTCCCTATGGAGTGGACTTAGGGAGCACTGCCGATGGCGGGGGAGGTAACATTCAATTGCTCTTGCTCCAAGGTTGTTTACCTTTTGTGATTTGTAACCATGTTTCGTGCTTCAGGGTTCTTCGAAGAGGGCGAAATCCCACCGGGTCCGGTGTCCCCTGGTGCTGATAACATGGATTGCCTTGTGCAACAAATGTGTGACGCTCTTCACGACGGGTCCTTGGGCATTGATCTGAACATCGACCTTGAGCAGATGAATAATGTTGAGCCCGTAGTCCCTTGTTCAGGTACGTCCACATTCAATGTCATTTTCCTCAAGCCTGGGGAAGGAAGACTTCTCGTTTTTGCTGAAAGTATTTTCTTGAGCTTTCCTCATCTTTCATCATTCAGGTTATCCTGCAGATGTTGCAATGGAGGGGTCAAGCTTCTCGAAGCCGGATGCCGGTTTATTAGCTGACATGTTGGCTGAGCAAACTTCCAGAGGGACCGAGAGACCATTCTTTGGGAATGATTCGTCTACCGGTACATATCTGATTCTCCTCCTCTTGCCCGATCTTTTATTTGACTAATGAATGATTGACTATCGCAGCGTCAACTATTGGAGTTAGCCCGGTATCTATCCCTGGCATATCCAGTTTGCCTCAGAATGACGGGCTTGCAGGTATGCATACGATTCAGGGATATTGTACTTTCCTATGTTCATCTGACTTTTGACTAATTAGGACCAGCCACTAGGACTGATTCTCATATGACTCCTGGCATCCCTCAAATGCCTACGGGTGAAGGATCTACAGGTATGCAGATGACTGTACAATCCCAATCCTTCTTATTGGTCTAAATTTTCATTTTGACTAATAAGAGAGTGCCATCATAGGACCAGCCGTTTGTGCCGATACTCTTATGACTCTTGGCATCCCGGCTGTATCTGAGGACGGGGGGAATGCAGGTATGCATACGATTTTCTTGTCCCGATTCTTTTTACTTTTCCATTTGGTTAACGTAGGAGTGTCATTGTAGGACCGGGCGCTGGGCCTGATACCACTACAGTTCTCAGGACTGAAAGCCTTCATGGTGCCTCCCCGCCTTTGCCGAGTGGTATGGGCAATCCACCTGCAGGTGCTGATATACCTTCTTCTGCTATTGTCTCAGAGCCCGTCGGACCTCAACCCGAGGGGACGTCCATTGGCATCGGTATGCTCCGAACTTGCCTTTTGATCTTTCTCATCGTAGTCAATAATCTACTGAGCTTCCAAGTCGTTGCTTGTAGGATCTTGATCTTCTTTGCACGAACGTGTCCGTAGCCTTTTGGTCGATACCGATCCTGACAGGGAGGCGTTCCGTACGGACCTCAGTTTCTTCACCGCCTTCTATAATGGCTTGATCGAGAAGCTTCTTCACCGAGGAGGCGGTTTTGATCAGTTCCGGCGTTCTTTCTCTCGCCACATGACGATGATGAGGGAAGAGGGATACCCGGACTTGGCTGATTCCTTTACCGCTGATTTCGCCCGCCTTTACCGATTACCGTTCGAATCGGGCTAGCATGCGGATTGTTGAAATCCGTTCCGCATGTAACGTTATGCTAAAGGAATGAACTCCCTTAGACTTAATGCTACGACTTTGAATACGTAGACTTTGCCCTTGTTACGGGAATAGGCTACCCGGCAACACGTGTTAGGTGTTGACTTATCCCTACTTAGGATTCGGGATAAAATTCCCCATGCACCAAGTGCGCGGATTGGAAGTTGAAAGTTGTGTCAAAATAGGAGAGGAAGAATTTTATATTCTATCTCCCGGTGCTAAAGAGGAAGAATTTTATATTCTATCTTCAGCTGGAAAAGAAACTCGAGGTGGGATTCTCCACCCCCAGTATCTGGAAGGATGAACTGGGAGTGGGATCTCCACTCCGAGCATCGGAAAGGTTCCGAGGAGAGGAAGAATTTTATATTCTATCTCCCGGTGCTAAAGAGGAAGAATTTTATATTCTATCTTCAGCTGGAAAAGAAACTCGAGGTGAGATTCCCCACCCCCAGTATCTGGAAGGATGAACTGGGAGTGGGATCTCCACTCCGAGCATCCGGAAGGATGAACTGGGAGTGGGATTTCCACTCCGAGCATCGGAAAGGTCCGAGGAGAGGAAAAATCTTATATTCTATCTCCCGGTGCTAAAGAGGAAGAATTTTATATTCTATCTTCAGCTGGAAAAGAAACTCG